GTTTGGACCTGGGCCACCACCACGGGAGTTCCGAAGCTGTGCTGCAACTGGACCGTGTCCCAGCTTCGGGAGGCGCCCGCAGGCTGGCACTTGTTGGAGTATTGCCTCACAGCCCAAATAGCCCAAACAGCCCAAACAGCCCAAACGGCACATGGAAATCATTGGGATTTGCTATTTGCTAAGTAATCGTGAATAAACTGACCTTAACCATGCCATTCACTCAGGCATTTCTCAATACACGACTACTGCCACACTGGCAGTCATAAACAGCGGCAAACATGCTAGCACGGAGAGTGCGGTAGAGGCTGACAGACATCGTGACATATTTTGCGATGTGCAAGCAGTTACGTTGAAATGAACACAGGCAAATTTGATTGGCACATTGTCGGACATGACTGACACAGACCAGGTGGAAAATGCTAAAACAGGAAGGCCAACAGAATTACACACATGCACTTTGACATAGATAGCTGATAGCTGTAAATCTCTGCCATCGACGCATGACCCTCCATCTACCTGACGCTCATGTGACATATGCATGATTGACATGCAAATCCACTGCCTATTTCTCATAGTCATAGACATACTGGAACTGGACATCTGACAACCATCTGAAGTAAATGCGACAAAAAAGCATGTACATGATGCACATGATATACTTTTCAAAGTTTCATGCATTTGCACGACTTGCCCCCGGCGTTTGTCTGATAATGACCACCCCTTTAGACGGGAAATTTGTGTGCGCCCTGTGTAGACTGGTGTCTCACTTTTCTTTCCGGGTGCCATGAAGTCGATGTTTGACTGCACACATGCGACGTCTGACCTTCACATAAATCTGAATTCGGGCCGCTCAAATCTGAAAAATCATCAGACCATTGAAAATTCCATGTCTTTTCACAGAAGAAATGCATCGCAATCAGAATCTATACTTATTAGAATATTCCTTTCACAACTCATAACGATGATTTTCCGAAAGAGAAATTCAATCTATATGGCCGCTTCCGGTCCCAGACCCTGTTCCAGAACTTCGGGGCCCGAAATGATTCAATCAGCAGCTTTCTACCACACATTACCTGTCGTATGAGTCCTCTTGGATCCGGATTCGTGTGTGACCCCACCCCCCTCAAACGAATGTGGTGTGTTTTGAATGTCTAGAAACATTCCGGAAATCTGCCTTTCAGATTTTTTGTGTTGCCTTCAAAGAGTGCCTTTTGAAAGTAAATCAAACATTAAAAATGTCCTCACACATTCAAAATTATACAGTAAATTTAATTTTCAGATTGTTGCATTGGCATTTAAACAGTGCGTTTGAAAAGTAATTTGACTACTGCCTCGGAAAATTTGTTCAGGGGCAATGTTTCATATACTGGACCTTCAAAAGTGCATCAAAATGCACTGTTGCAACTTGAACGCAAATCTCCGTAAACAGTGCGCAAATCTTATAAACATGCCAGATTGGCCCATTTGGATCAAACGTTCAGAAATCAAGTGGCGCAAGAACATTTGTCATCATTTAGACATGAGTAAACCAGATTGCCTATGGACCTACATTGAGTGTCAGATCGACAAATTCGATTCCATGAATTAGAGACGCCAAAATGTTTTGCAACTTTTTGAGACAATCGGCACTGCACACACAGAATATATCGTTCGAGCTCGCCCCACCATTCAGGCATGGTCCCACCGCCCTGCCCGTACTGACAAAACTATACTGCAACTTGTCCCGTTGTGTGGTTGAAAAATTCAGTGTGTTGATCCCTTAAATGCTTCAAACCACAAACAAAACGTACTCAGAAAACCCACAAAAGTAAGCAAACAATCCGCAAAAGTGCGCAAAAAACCCACAACGGTAAGCAATTTGCATTTTCTGTACTTTTGTCTTGGACATGGACATGATTCAACAAAAACATGTTTTGGTGGGCTTACCAACCAAAGCTTTTAATGCATGATCAGACTGTCAGACTGGGACTCAAATTACATGTCACACTGCAGCAATCATTCTTACCTGTGTGACACTATGATATTACATGTTTAGCCCAAGTTCAGTGGTATAATGACATGGTGTGGAAAAACCTGTTCAATTTTGTCTCGGAACGTTCAGTTTGGGCGGGGAATGTTCAAAACGGCCCAAACGTACAACAGTCCAAACGTAGAAGAATTATTGAACTTTTGAAGGTCCAGGTATTCTGCATTCAAGTATTTAGATGGATCCTTTTGGAAGGCTAATGTTTTTTCAAACATTTTTCAATTTCCAGTACCTTTCTTATCTTGTTTTTTCTCTCACTGGCAGCTCAGCTTGGGCAGGGAAGGTCTGAGGTCACAACCAAAATTTACCAAACTGAGAACACCCACAACCCGAAGGGAGTGACTGAAACGGCTACAAATGAACTGCAAAACCTTCTCACATACGAACCTGGCCAGAATAAATGTAATTCATACCCGTTACATTCTTGAAGGGGTAGCAATATCTGACATGTAACAGACTTTCACTAGCGCAAGACTACTGACTTACACCTATAGTATCTATAGCCTTCTTGGAGATGTTCTTTTGGAGCACATGCCAACTCACCAAAAAAACACCATCTCTTGCCAACTATACCCAGCTTCCGCTGATATTGCAGGTGAGTGGCCTTGCCATGGTATCCACTTGGCCTGCCTCAAAAACACGACCATCTGGCAGAGTATGTACACCTTGTTTGGCCGCAGCATAAGCGACCTTGGTTTTTTTCAGACTGCAAATCACCAGCATTTGTGCAAATGTGATAACAGTGAACCCCTGAAACACAGACTGGACACAGTATAACGGCATCTTAATTGCATTGAAAAAGAGCTTTGAACTACACCTGCTGACTGTCGCCATGCCGAAGACACACACACATATCATTCGCACCAAAATCCATCCACTGATTCACGCCTGTACGCACCAACATGGTCTAATTCTATCGCTTACTCCTGGAATCGTAAAAGCATCCTCCAAAACTAAAAGAAATGTGTGACGCTCTGGGCATTTCACTCTTCCCACATGAAGAAGTTTTGCCTGCACGCCGCACGACAACAGTTTGTGTGGTACAGCCCGATTTCTTGGCCAACAGGGTAAACCCGTTGTATCCTGAAGAAGCGGCTACGCGGCCTACCGCTTGTTTGTCTGGCGCGGTGTCGCAGGTGCTCTTAGCTGCGAAGAAAAATAAACGATTAAACTGTGCTGCCTGGAGAGCTGCACCTATCTGTGGGTTTGTTGAATTGCGCAGTGACTTCATCCATGCTCACCAGTCCTCTGTCGTTACATGATTCATGATGCCGTGTGCAAGAAAGGTGTACGCGCACAAATCACGATAAATCCATGTTCATCAAATCCAGGTTCATCCCTTGCAATCACTAAACTTGCAAGATCTCCAAGTTTGTCAGGCCTTGCGGGACAAGGTGTGAAGCATCCCTTGTCGTCTCTGACGGAATGACAAAGGATGGTGGGTGGGACAACACTTGAAATTGTTTGCTCGTACAGATATACATGATGCAGCCACATACATACATACATACATACATTACATTACATTACATTACATTACATTACATACATACATATATATATATATATATTATGTATGTATATTATGTATGTATGTATGTATGTATGTATGTATGTATGTATGTATGTATGTATGTATGTATGTATGTATGTATGTTTGTATGTTTGTATGTTTGTATGTTTGTATGTTTGTATGTTTGTATGTTTGTATGTTTGTATGTATATATGTATATATATATTAAGTTATATTCATTGTATAATATATATATATATATATGTGTGATTATGCATATATATATATATTATATATATTATGTATATATATATTATGTATATATATTATGTATATATATATATTATGTATATATATATATATATTATGTATATATATATTATGTATATATATATATATTATGTATATATATAGATGTTAATTACTCCTTGAGTTGTCTACAGACATGTTTGGGAAAGGTTTCAACGAAAAGATGCTCTGAAAATGTTCACATGTAAAAACTTCATATCGTAACTGTAACAACTTCGCTGCTAATGCGTTCTCCCTTTTTTTGACGCTGGGGGCAAACACGACGTCTCATTTGAGCGTGTCTCGCTGAAGAAGACACGAGTTCCTCTTTCAGGCACATGCTCCAGAGGTTTGTCAAGTCAATTGGGCTGGCGGCCAGTCCCAAGTACTGCTGAATCTTTTCTCTGGACAAGACATCTGCTCAATTTGACTGTGAAGGCACTCGCTCGATCCAGGCAACTAAACCCAAACCTTCTTCTACAGAGCAGGTGGCTCTGATGATGAGGTTATATTATATATGATTATGTGTGCGTGACATTGTGTGCCTCTGTAATCTTAACTCATGTAATGTTCAAATCTGCCATGCCACGGTGATGGCCACCAGATCTCCGGTGTTGGGAGGCGGAACCACCAGCAGCGCTTCAAAGCCGCTGGAGCTGACACCTCGGATCTTCACATCCTTTGGATCACCGAGCCCCGTGGCCAGCACCACCACCACGGGAGGCTCGGCGAAAGCAGTGGCGAAGGAAAAGTGTTGCCAGTCGCCTTGACCTGCGAAACGGTGAACAATGATCCACTTTCTGCATCCAGTACTGAAGAGTACTACTTCACATTGACATGCAATGGCATGCAATGCCATGCAATGGCATGCAATGGCCTGAAACGCTGATTTCACCTGCTTCGAGGAAAGGGGCATTTTCATCCACTGGAGTGGTGGTAGTCGTGGTCGTCGTGGTCGTCGTGGTCGTTGTGGTCGTCGTGGTCGTCGTGGTCGTTGTGGTCGTTGTGGTCGTCGTGGTAGTCGTCGCCGTGGTGGTTGTTGTGGTGGTGGTGGTCGTCGTACTGGTCGCTGGGCTCCTGGCTCAAGCGGTTGCACGGTATCTTCAATAGAAGGCATGGAACGATCTGCGGGGTAATGCAAAGATGCACGCTTTTCAACATCCAGCATTCATCATCTTGCATTGCAGTATGATACGTAGAAGATTCTGTGAGTCATATGGCACGGCATCGACGTCTCCTGCATCGATACGCGTCCAAGGCTTGCTTGATGTCCCCGGCAGACAAGGCGTGACGATTTCCAACAAGGCTCTGCCCAGAGGATGGAATTGTGTTGAAGTACCAGCCTTGTGCAGATTTGTCACTGGATCAAAGTCAAATCAAATTATGTCAGATTACATTCATTTTCTGTGGCCGTTCGTATGCGTTTGGACATAGTATGACATAGTACATCGGTGTACATCGGCACATCGCCAGCTCAACAAGACTCTTATCGAGGCACCGTCATTGACAGTGCGGTCGGAGCTTCTCTGTCGATAGTAGTGCATGATGCTTTCCTGGACACGAAACAGTCACAGCTTATGCGCCTTGACTTCAAGCAACACTACGAAGTCCACATTGGAATTTCTCGCCAAACCAGAGGGTAGCGCAGATTCTGTTCAGTCTGTTCTGCCAAGACGCAAAATCATATGGTGCATAGCCAATTTGAGGATCGCCTACACCGTCATCTGCAGAACCAATATAGGTGTTGACAGCAGGGGTGTACTGACTTCCCCATTGTCCAGTGTTCTCCCAGAACATCTCCAGATGTGGCCCCTTGCCGTAGTACTCTTGCGACCCATCAGCACGCTTTTGCTCGTGGTTGATGCCCAAACCTGAGATACTGCACCAAGATGCACCAAGCACTCTCAAAAACATCTGCAGAAGTCAAGCGCAGAACCTGCAACAGCAAAATTCCCCAAAACACGAATCGGACAAGTGCGGAATTAAGCCGAATTCGAGGCTCCATGACCGAGCTCATGCACCATACTTCCTTTATGGCTCATTGTCTTGCACCATCCCAGGTTGATCTTGTGGTAGCTCGATGGCCGTCCCAGGTATGCCCAACAGCTTCCTGTGTCGTAGATGCCCACCAGGATGTAAGGATAGCCCTCAGTTGACAAGAAGAAGGAAACTCTATGAGTCGAAACTCCCCAAGCCTGAAGATCCTGAAGGGAAATTCCTAGGATGAGACGGATGAGAAGCTGAACAACTGGAGTGCTTTCTCTTAATCACTGGAGTGGTCAAGTGGGGATGGCAAGCTGCTTCAGCTCCAGAGCTGCAATACCATTGGAGTCACTGTGACATTACCAAGCTCGACCAAGCTTCTGCGTTGTCATCTTCCACCACAGCGATGCAGGTGTGGGTTCGCCAATCCGCTGCGGCAGCGCGGAAGGCTTCCTTGCGAGTGTCATCGACGTCTGTATCGAACTTGTAACGCACCATGACATACCTCGCAGAGGATACTGTAAGACTGTAAGAGCAAACATCCATGGAACTTGTTTGATACCAATTTCAAGTCGGGGACACTTTCCACTGCCATGGTGGTTTCAAAACTTTGAGGGGCTGCGATTGCCACATTAGGCACCGAGTTACCTTTCTTTCTCAACACCTTTTGATACCTGTGAATCCTTGGGGGGGTGAAGTTAACCAGGCATCTAATCTAAGCTTCATCAAGTGATGTTTACCCCTAGATGACTCCACCCCTCGAACACACAGCACTTCAGCTCATTGCTGCCCTCGCCAATTCTCTATGGCTGGAACCAAATGAGTGTGGCCACCCTGCTGAGGGGGGGAATGAAATGAAAGCATCCCGCACAGCAACCTGCACCCAGGATCAAACCAGGTTGGCAAGAAACAACGCGATGAATGATCGCCTTCACCTCTTCAGGTCTAAAAGAAATCATACACCTTCTCCTTGTCATTCCTTGTCCATGTTTTTTCTCACAAGTAGAGACTTAGAGCTTAAGAAATTTAAGAAGTCGGTCTTCAGTTCAGGAATTCATGCTACGCCGAGTTACTCTTGCCATTGGCTGAGCATGCCCTCTGGAGCCGTCGTGGTGCGTTCGATCCAAGGCCTGGCCGCCTGGCAGCCATCGGCATCATCACACGGCCTAGAGCGAGTCGAAAGACGAGTGCCGTGTATAGACGACATGTCATGGAATGTCATGGAATGTCTATCTTTAGTATTAACATTTAACAGATTTAACATGTATTGCTGTATTAAAAATTATTGCTGTATTAGTAATTACTGTATTGACCATCCATTGTTGGGGTACTGCAGCTATCCAATTTTTGCCCATACCCACAGTGGAACCACAGTGTTTGTTTGCTTCAAAACAGCGATCTTAATAGGGAATAGCCTGCTGACGATCCCTCTTTGCACTTGATCTTCTTTCTTGTGCTAGCTATTTGTTGAGCTGGCTATTTCCTGAGCTGTTTAAATCTCTGTAACACGGAAGTATTTCTTCTATATAAACTTCCTTTGCCAATGTTCAAACTGTAACTGTTACGTGTTTATTAGATCTCATCAGGGTGATGAGACATGATGCCTTGGTTGTCTTGGAGGAAAAGTCACTGGTACATTTCAATTCAACTGGAATCATTCAACCAGAATCGATGCAAGGAGAAGACGAAACCATGAAACTTCTGTGGCAGGCGCCTGTCCCAGCGAGGATCTTCGATTCCAGATGCAGCGCGCTCCTTTTGGAGTTCGCGCAGTGCGATATCTTCGGCTTCAAACTTCTGCAGAAGCTCTGGCGGGATTTTCCCATCTTCCTCCTGGAAGTTGGAGCTATGAACCGTCGGTGGACAGTGGGGTGTCTTGCACAAATCCCAGGACTGGAAGCAAACCCTGAAAGACTGCCGCATTTTTTTTGAATCGGGGATTGAGGAAGCCAAGATTTGATGACAGCATCATCCAATTTCCTGGAAGCCCGCAGGCTGATTCCTAGGCTGCCCGGACCAAAATACGTCCACACTGCAGCTGCAGTCAAGATGGATGTGATGTAGGGTTAAACAACCGTTGCCTCAAACAGTCATAAAATAACATTCGTTCAAATCAAATTGGTTTTCCCGAAAGCTTGATGCAGGGAACACCCACCCTGGCGGGAAATCTAAGAACGGTGGTGGGGCGATGTTGTTAGTCGAGGGTCATGCTCTGCTACGTGTGGAATCGCTGCGCCCTCTGCCAACCCCCCCACTCCCGCTTGATGCTTCTCTTCGGTCAGTTGGCAGCTGCAAGTGTTTCTACAGCGGGGCACCGCTCGCAGGAGCATATAACTAAAGAATACTAAAGAAAGGGAGGAAAGCAAAAACGAAAATGAAAAGAAAGAACAGGAACACCCCTCAGAAAGCATAGAAGAGCGCAGACCTGTACCCTTCCAAGTGACAAACAGCAATGCTGCCGCCGCCCTGCTCGCCAATGAACGACACCCCCTTCTCCCCCAAGAAAAAAAAGATCTGGATTCAGGGTGGCTTGTGGAAGTTTGCAGTTGCGAAGGTCGTCACATAAAGCTTGTGTGGAGGCAAGTGGGAGAACCAAACCGGAGCAAGAGTAACATAGCCCAAAAAAAGTTAGTCAAATCAAGACATGCCGCCAATAGCAGCCTTGTGGAACACGTTGCTTTGCACAGGACAGCATTGCAAAGAGTGTTTCTGCCCCAACCAGTGAGAACTACTGCGATGATTGACAGCATTTTAAGCGCTCTCCGTTCTGCTAAGTGCAAGGTTTCCATCTTTTCTTCATGGAGGGCCGGGCCCAAAAGAACAACCAAGTATAGTTGAGTCGTTCGAGTCGTTCGAGGCTTTGTGCAAGTTTCTGGATCTCAGTTTAGGAATCCAAAACGGCTCAGAGTAATCTCAGAATAAGCTGAATTTCGTTGTTCGTGTAGGCACTCAGTGGAAGGCCCAAAAAGAACAGCCAGTTCAGGGATCAAAGGGAGCCGCAAAGACCTGCACCGGACATTTTAAGCCAAATGGGCAAGTGGCGGCAAGTGCATCCATATGCATTCGCCCTGTCGCAAGTTGTATTCTTGAAAGCTGCCCGGGACAACGCTTGCGCGCCCAGCTTCAAAATGATCAAAAACAAGCACTTATCGCATTCTGAATGTAAGCAAGAAGGGTCAACGCGCGGAAGCAGAAGGCCACCGGCTTTCACCAAAGTTGTCAAAAACAGCATGTTTTTCCGATTCTTCAGGTGCAGACGCGCCCAAAAGCATGAAACACCCCCCATGTTTTGCCGAGCCAAATGAGCCAACTTCAAAAACTCAGCACTGCCTGAAGCTAAGCAACCCCCGTGAAACGATTGAAAAAAGTGGAAAGTGGACAAAATCTGAAACCAAAAAGAAAGTATTGAAACCAATTGTCATATTGTGGGAAAATCTGGATCGAGCTAACATGGAAGAATTTGTCGATCGTTTTGGAGACCTCGGTAAGTTGGGGCCAGGACACAACAGCAGGCAGCAGGCCTCTCTCCTGCTCTTCAGAGATGTCAGTTCCACTCACGATGGAATCCACATAGATGGTGTTGCCAACATGCCTCAAGAATGGCAAAGGTCTGGCAGCAGTGGCAAGCACTGTCAGGTTGAAGATGCTATCAACGCACCACAAGGATTTTTGTTCACTTTCACATGACTTTCACTCACTGAATTTGAACAGGTTGCAACATCTGCAAGTGTTCGGGGACAGAACCCCCCGAAACGAAAGGACCAATCCATCTGTAGACGCGAACGGGGCATTCCTCTTGAGTCGGGAGTTGCTTCGACAGCGGCAGCAGCAGACCTCCCCGTGGAGCCCCTCCCACGGCCGCCCCCCACACATCTTTATTGAGGAGGGAGGCGCCACAGCGACATTCTTCGCCCACCAAGCCAAAGAGGTCCAATCCAGCACCGATGCAAAACTCGAAGCAAAGTTCTGGCGTCATGTCGTGATTCGCTTGCAAACGATAGAACCTCGACATCGGAAAACATCGGCAATAAAACAAACAGAAAACCATGCCTTACCGAAAACCGAGGTCTTTGTAGCCTTTGCTTCACGGCGCGTCCAAACCTCTTAAACTGGCACGCAGGTACCAACTTGTACCCAGATTCAACCATATTCAACCATTTACGTTTCAAATTTGGTCAAGCTTCGGCAGGCCACTTCGGCATGCAACGTCATCTTGCGTCCAGTCTCGGCATGCGAAATCCGCTGCATCTTCGACTTCACCGGTGACGTCACCATCTCCTGGCAGGTCGTGAAGATGGACCCTTTGAGGTGCGCGCGCGCGCGATCAAAACCGAAGCGCTATAGTGCTTCATCCCAAAAAAAACTATAAAAAACTGGGAATTTCATGGAAATTCTGTCATTACTACGTAATTACTACTCATTTGTCCTGAAATTGTTGTAATTGAAACGAAACAATCCATCCAAGGTTGCTGCAAGGCTGAACAAACGCAACCGGCATCCAGCACGGTTTCGGCCTAGTGGAAAGCAGCCCACCAATTCGAATTCGCTGTCACGGCTTTCTCCAAATTCGCCTGGGCGGACGCCTAAATTTTCGTGGCATGTTCGTCCGTTTATCCTGATCTCAGCTAGTAAACAGCAATATTGTCTTGCAACCCAGGAGAATCACCTGCGGGATCTACCACACTTGACCAAGGAGGTACTGAGTGTGATGAAAAAAACCGATGGATGGGGATCATACATACCACTTGTAATCCGGATTGATGTTGGCAGTTGTAAAGCCCTATAGATTGATGACCGGCCAAAGCGTCCTCTGTTCTTCTGCACCGAGCGTGAAGTGCCGTGAATCCAAACAGTTTATATAATTCGTTGGCAAGCTCAAACACCATCATGCAGAAGCATGCACGCAGTCAGAGAATGACGTTTTGGAATGTGCAGGAGCCTTCTTTCCATTGCATGTCTTGAAAGAATCGGCGGTCACAAGAAACACTTCTAACCTATTGGGAAAAAAATGATTCATGGCTCAACAAAGGCTCTGCATACTAAGTCTCTGTACAAGGCCCAATCAACACGCATTACACGCATTTTGGGGCTTCCGAATGAGGCTGGGGAGACCTTGACGGGGACTCAAAAACATGGACACATCGTGCATCCCATGCAGAAATCCTGTGAACCAACAGTTCCAACAAGGGATAACAGGGGTCCATCTCTGATGGATTTAGATCCATCTCTACTTATTGGTTGCAGGGCTTCTACGGCGCTGCACCTGCGCCAGAAACACTGTTTGGTGGTTTGAACGCATTTGTGGGATGGAAGAACATAACAATGTTTGAAACCACCAACCAGGGAAAAATGTACGAAAGGGAAAACTGAGAACCACGACCATCACCGACAACTAGTCAGTTTGTTTCAAGCCCCATCATGCCACACTTCAAATCCACCATTTTTGATGGCTTTCTGTTGAGGCACTGGATTCATCATCTTCGTCATCTTCATCACAGTTGCTGCAGTTTGCGGGGCAGGAAAGGACTCCACAGTGGCAACGCCTGGACGGTGCCATCCAATCTGTGAGTTAGACAATTGCCGGACTCTCAAGCACATATCGTTGAAGTGAACCGGTTGCGAGGCTTCCTTGTTTCAATGGGATTGTTTCAGTTGATGATGTGATTGGACAACTCATGGTACCCTATAGGCTCTCCAGTCAATCGGGAATATGGATGCCTGTGGTTCCTGAGATCCCTTGTACTGGCTAGTGATGGCAAGTCAAAGAGAATCGCCTGTACTTTCGTGGCTTCATCAAGTGTTCGCATCTGAAATCTTCAAGCTCTTCTCCGCCTAGTGCAAAGCACTTCACCTAGCGAAAGTGGTTGCACAGTTTGTCCCAAAATGTTCCGTGAATTTAAGGGCTTTGACCGCCATGTGTCCCTTTGTCGCTACATTGCTGTGGGCAATCCCTTTCTGGACACAGTGCCAAGACGGATCGAACGACCTCGCGCTTCTGAACAGCAGGATTCGTACCGAAGGCACGCCTGCAGCGCCGAAACAAAGACATGGGAAGGACATTGCCCAAGGAGAACAATGCAGTGCCTAGGATACTTAACTGCGATGATCAACTGCAGTTTATGCCTTCATGAACTCTTCCAAATGCTGGTGTGGTTTCTACACGGCTTCCCATCCAAACTGTGAACCACTTGATCGCCAATCACAGGTCAGGCGTAAAAAGAACCTAGGATATGTCACGTCTGTCTGCCTGCCTGTATGTATGTATGGGTATAATATATATATATTTAATTATTTATTTATTTATTCATTTATTTATAGTATATATACACACACACATGTGAATACATATGTCCTATGCAAGTGTATCTATATAATATGTGCGTATATGTAAGCATGTCTGTGTGTACCACGTGTGTATATATGTATATTTATATATATACACCTGTGCATGTATACATGTATATGTATGTATATAAATTGTATATGTATATATATTGTGTACATATTTGTTCATGATGATTGTCTATATGCATTCACAAGTTATAATATAAAGCAAAGTATATGATACGCAAGAATACACATGTATAGTATAGTTATATGATGTGTATAACCTATACGCATGAAACATTATGAAACCATACGAAACCCATGTATTTCGCACTTGGCAAAGAACGAAGGGACTGGCATCCAGCACCAGGACTTGAGCGGATTGATTCTTCTGGATATGGCAATGCCCATTCCCTGGATTCATTGGAAGCCCAGTCCTAAACAAAGTTATTGCAAACTGCTCAGTACCCGAATCTTCATATCATATGTGCAGATTTGGAATATAGTTCCCGAACATTTAGAGTATAGTTTCTGTGATTTAAAATAGTATAATTAACATACAGCCACTTCAGAACAATGGTGCCACAAATGCCACATAAAGAGGCTGATGCAGAGGCTTCATATGTTAGCAGCTACTTGCAGGATAGGTCCCAAGATAGCTAAGTTGCCTTATAAGTGGTTTAACTATGGTTTATGGTAGATATATCTATAGTTAATGGGGTTTATAAATTAACTTATATGGAGGTGTCCATAAATGGGGGTACCCCTAAATCATCCAGTTTAATAGGATTTTCCATTGTAAACCATCCGTTTGGTGCTACCTCCATTTATGGAAACCCCATATCTAGGGCGGCACCATCCTGTACGGCTCACCTAAAAGGGACCGCGGCTGTGCCTGGCACCAGGACACACTTTGATGCATGAACCGAAGGGTCCAGCGACCCAGGAGACAAGCGCTTCCTTGGATCGTTCTGTTGAGCGATCTCTGACCCGCAACGCAAAAATTCATGAAATTAAATGTACAACTGTATTTAATTGATCTAAATTGTAGAATTAGACACATTGTTGAGGCTCAAGTGACTTCATGCGGATCCAAGTTTCAAAGTCATTGCTCAGCATGGACTTCGAACGATGCCTGTGTTATGTGATGTGCAAAGCCCGAGTGTATGGCCCTGGCCGACAAACAGGACCAGACCAAAGAGGCATGGTAAGAGTCGGCAAGAGAAACATGCAAAGCAAACGGGCAAAAAGACAGCGAACAAGGAGGAAAAAGAGAAAGAAAATCAATGAGATCAGCTAGTGAGACGAAGATAATCGAAGAGATTCCCACACCAGTGTGGACCAGGGATTGGAGAGATTCAGATGGAGATAAGTTGTGCACCAAGTGCAGCATCTTCTGCGCGAAACGCAAAGGCTACCTGGCACAGAGCTCCAAGTGTCAGACCCAAAAGACAGTTGCCGCACCTGCCCACACAGACGAGCACCAAACAGGGACAAGTAAGATAGGGACTTGATTAAGAGATCAGCCAGTAGAGACAAGATGGGTAGAGGCAATCAGTTTCATGGGTAGGAACAAGTTTTAGTAAGATGTATATAGATAACAAACGGATAAGTTGATACAAACAATTTGGTTGAGACAAGTTTGCGCGATGGATCTCCAGAAAGAGGAGGATGGAATACCTGAAAGAAAGAAGCAGCTACACATAGACAGGGGAAACTGTCTGGTTTCATTTGCAGACTGCAATATCTCACACTTCAAAGGACTTAACTATGAGAAACTCCATCTTTCGGGGAGAACAACAGTGAGAACAGTGAAGTTTCATGAAGTTTCTGTATTGAAGTTGCCCCTTTTCATGGCCAGGGCACTGTATGAAGACATTGCCAGTCGTCTTCCAGCACACAGCATGATCTCCTCCACAGGCTCAATTTTCACCAGTTTCGCGCTGCAACAAAGATTAACGGCTGGCTACCTTCGCGCTACCGGGTACCCCAATAGCTGAATGGTACACAATGGAAAAATCCAATTTTTCGAAACATTGGGGGTATGATTCGGTATTATACCATATTATACCCCATTTCGAGACACAACTGGACGTCGCAACTCCCTGGGTTGACCGGGCCCTAGAGACATCTTTGGTCCGGTCCTGCTGCAAGGCGCAGAAGTTGAATTGAGAGTAGAGCGCTGAATGCGCTTCCTAAAGACGCCTGGGCAATTTTCATAGGGAGTACGGAAAAATGACACGCTAAATCCGACTGAAAATCATCCGTAGACTCAACTCTTGGAAAGAAATCCGTATACTTAAGATACGCAAGAGTTGGGATGGGGGTGGCTGTTGTGAGGACTGTGATGGAGAGTGGTGTTCATCTCATTCAAAAATGAACGACATCTGTAGCGGGCCCCGAAACATTGAACAAAAAAATCCACTACATTCGGCAAAAATGATGCCCTTCATTGCCCTTCCCTACAATTATCTAATGATAATGGATCTGCTCATTTTGGGACCCCTACAGGTTGATTTTTCCAGGGATGCGATTGAACATAAATTTACAAAAAAAAAAACACTTGGTGTTGCAAATTGTCAGTGGAAAATGTGCCCAATCCGTGTCTCTACTTTATATTGTATCCTAGTTTGAGCACGCTCCTGAACCACGAACGCATAAAAATCCTGACAATTCGGTTTGTTTGAAATTGGGGCATGTATGCCTCAAACGAATTCAAGTGGTCCATGTGGAGGGGGAATACGAACATGGTAAACCATCATATTTACATTGCCCTGTTTTCCGACCAATTTTGCCAATGACTCTCATCATTGTATCATTGCCATCGAAGCACAAGTTTCATCCTCCCGCAAAGAACGGAAGGCTTTGATGCGTCTTGATACGCCTTGTTTGTACAGTTCGCGTGAGAGATGGCTGCGGCGGGAATTTAACAATTGATTATCATAACAAATTGTTTCAATCAAAGGAAAATCGTAAAGAAACTCTGTGGTACGGACAGTGCACATCAGCACTTGCCAAGAAGTCTTGAAGTCCAGCTGGCATGTTCCCGAAGTAGAGAGTAGGTCAGAAGTTTTTCTTAAGTAGAGAAGTATATAGTTCACAAGTCGTGAAGCACAGTTGGCATGTTCCTGAAGTAGAGAGGTGGTTCAGAAGTTTGAGAAGAGTAGAGTAGTAGCGAGTACAGATTGAAGTGTACCAAGAAGAAAACAGAAAAGAAAAACTAAAGAGTAGAGAGGACGACAGGATATAGGATACAGGATAGTATAAGTGGAGAGTGGAGAGTAGAGAGTAGAGAGTGGAGAATAGCGGTCAATTCGATCGAATGCAACCGCCAGACAGTTCGAAGAGTCGCAGAAAGTGCTTTGCCTGCAACGCTAAATTTGCAGCGTTGAAAGTGTCAATCCGAGAGGCAGGTGCTAACTAATCTAGAAAAACAAGAAGTGTCACGTGTGCTACGCAAAAGAGCCCCGGCGTCCAAAGCGTCTGTGCGACGAAACTCGACCATCTGACAGTTTAAAAAGGCAACAATCGCCGCACAACAAAACAGTTACAACGTCTACAGCGGGAATCCGGCCGAATGCAACCGCAAGAATCTGAAGAGACAGAACCATTACCAAAATAAGGTTTTTGGCTACACAATGTCTTGTTGGCGTCTGTTTGGGATTGGTCATGTTTGTTTTACTTTATTCTGGGTGGGTCGAATGTTTCGTTTGTTTGCGTTTGGTGGAATACACGTGGCTGTTTTTGTTGGATAGATGTCATTCACACAGTTTGTGGATCTGAGTGAATGGGTTGCGTTTGGAATCTGCAATTTTTGCTGCTGCGAACCAACATCAAATTTTATTTCGCGCCTAATGCTTGCATGTCGAAAGCAGAAAACAAAGAAAGAGACGAATTTCAAAAAAGGAAACTAAAACCGAACCAAAAATACATGGAATAAGATCATTATGCGCGCTCGAGAATCAATTCACTTGTCTCTCTAAAACCTATTTACGGAAACGAAACTGCGAAGCGGGCAGCGACACTATTTTGGACCACAGGGCCTGAAGTATGCATCATGATATTCATGTGCAGTGAATGAATCTTTGTACACTTCTCGTTTCGATTTGTGCGTGTCATCCACTGAAGTCTGTCACTGAAGTCCATCTGAATGCTTAACGACATCACTGAATGTGAATGCAAGAGTAAAAATGTTTCTCACTCCTCCTTGCATTGCTGCAGTTTTAAACTCTGCAATGCACTTTGGCTCTGATTTGTACTCCTCTCCAGACTTTGTATCTGCAAAGAAATCCTTTCCAGAGAAAAAAACTGTCTCATCCGTTTTGATAGGTGTCTGCAACTGCCTGGTAGTGATCGGCAGCTTCCCATCTGTTCTGATCTACTGCACTGCTCTCTGATGCATTTCACCAAAGACTTCTGCAACTTTATCTCGGCCACGCACCAGCATCGTGGCTGCATTTTCTGTTCTCACTTCTTCCAGAAAACCAAGGATTGTATGCTGAATCTAGTTTGCGTCCCAAATTTCTCCATTGTCTAGGCCTCTCAAATGCTCAGTTTTCAGAAACTCCACAATCTCTGTACCTGAATCCATTCCAGTTGAAGTGTTAATCTGTGCATTCACCTGCATGTCCTCACTCTCATTGTTTTCAAGCGCAACATCGTCAGTCTCATCTGCAAGTCCTTGTGGTGAAAATTTCTGCCTCACCAAACGCATGTATTCCACCGATCCAAGGGCTCTTGCACTGATCAAGTTCGCTCTTTCCAATGTTGTAAGATGCACCCATTGAGCTTGGCTTAAACCACATCCATTTCTCAAGAAACCTCCATGCTCCACCAAGCTGTAATGGATGCCTGATGCATAATCATGCGTCATGGAAACCTCGTTGCTTGTTGATTCAACTCGATCTGAAAGCATGGCATAGTCCTGCTCGATTTGGGTCTGCATACCTTCCACCTTTGAAGTCAAATCATCAATGCGTTTCTCCTGTGTGGAGATGTACCCATCTTCGTCACCAACCTGGTTCCAGCAATGTTGCAAGTCGGTCGAAACCTTGCGCCATGCAAGATATCCGACCATTGCCAAACCAAACCAAACCAAAGAATGAGCATCACACCCATTGCAAGCCATAGCCACCAATCTCCATTGCTTTTTCCAGAAGCCTGAACCTCAAGGCAAACCTCGTTGGTACCTGCTGCTTCCTTCTGCTCCAACATGAAGACTGGGCTCAAGGCCCCACATCAACGCCATTCGCATGATTGCTTTTGCAACACGTTTGACTGTTTTCTGTCCAAAAACTCTCTCTTCGAAGGCTTTGAACTCCTCCTCTCCAATCATTTCCAAAGTTTCTGGGTCACACGCGCCAATCTGGTTCAAGAGCACCAAGAGTCTTTGCTTTGCCAGGGGTTTTGTTCCTATGTCACTCAGGTTCCTCTGAGTTCCAATCTGTCCAACATTGACTTCCTTTTCAAGGACCAAGCTTTGCATCCAAAGGATTTTCCCTGACAAATGTCTCACTTTTCCAACACCTTGACGCTCAATCAGTTGACGTGCTGCTGAGTTGTCGACCCATTGCCACTGCTCAATCTCGTCACCTGTCAAGAACTGCATGCAACGCCTCAAGAAGATAGCGTCAGAGCAACCTGACACCCTGCTGTGCAACTCTGATTCTGCTGAACTCAAAGAAACAACACGTTGCGTTCTGCTGGAGGCATATGCAAAGTTTCCATTGATGAAATGAACAGCGCAACTTGTGCTACGACGGTGGGTCTTGTGGGCCGACCAACCAGCATCTGTGTACGCTTCAACATTCCAAAACTTTTCACCATTCTTTTTCCATTTCCCAGCTCCAAACTCTGGCAATGAAAGCTTCATGGCCATGTCACCTGTGGGTTTCCAAGTAGCCTACCAGTTTTCTCATCTTCTGCAACGCACAAACTGTTAGGCATGACATGAATGATGAAAGTTCTTTCACACAGTACATCACATCAACACGATCTCTGGCTGCATAAAGGAGTAGGCCAATGACACTGCGAAATGCTTTGCTGTCATTTTCATTCAGCAACTGAGATTTGTCATCATTCTGAATCGAACTGTCGCATGGAATCTTTTGGCTGCGGGCAAAACCAAAGAACTTCTCAAGTACGCAATGATCTTGCCAGCCGTAGTGCCTGGTACGGTCAGCAAACCATCTTTCACTTTCACTAGCTGTCGCTTGAGGAAATGAATTGAACTGCCATCACCTTTGCCCTCACTGAAATTCACGTTGAATTTGCTTGTAACTGCAAGCAAAAACTTTCCTTCCCAGAAATCACGACTGCCAGCAAAAAGTAAATCATCCACGTGAATCAAAAAGCAGTTTGAAATTCCTCCAGCAACGCACTTTGCAAGGCAAGGTTGTTCAACGCACCATGAACAATCCAAAGTTTCACTGCTGTATTTCCTGAAGTGCCAGTACCAAGCTTTTGCTCCAAGACGCTGTCCAGGGAGGTTGCGTCTGATCACATATTGCTGATTTTAAAGGGAAACCATCACCAGCTTTTCCTGAGGCACCTGCAAGAAGGCATCTTTGATGTCCAAAGCCGCCAAGACAACCTGATATGGGCTATTGCCATCACTCCCAAAACTGTCAACGCTATCCAGACTATCTGCCAGCATCTTGAGATACAGAATGGGGATAAGATTTGTTGAATGGCATCCACTTGCAGGGCTGTATGTATTGCTTCTGCGGTCAGTTGCAAACTCACGCGCAACAAACCTGCTCCTTCTCATCCACATTTTGCTTCCACTGGGATGATCCTTGATTCTCCAGTCATAGACAAAGCTTGTTGTCAAAGCACTTGAAATCTCATCCAAACACTCCTCCTTTCTCTGGAGAACACCCATTGAAAGCAATCGTTGAATCTCGATCTCATCAGCCAGTTGGTCCACCCATTGTTCTGGAGGTGGTGGCTGCTTTTCCAAAGAAGCTGATGACCACAGAGCATCTGGAACATCTTTGAACTCAAGCTGGTCCTCATCGTCCCAAAACTCAACGTCAGGAGTGCTGTGCTGTCATTGATATCCAGCTCATGCTCGTAATCGTCCATTGTTGCAAACTCATCTGTGCCCACTTTGACTGTTCTGATCATGGATTCATTGTACTCTCTCAGTTGATTGATTTTCTGCTTTTTCTGACTCTCGATCTTTGCACGCTTGGACTCATGATCATCAACCACTTCAGTCTCATGGGTTCTTGTGGAACATTGCTGCCTTGGAGTTGGAGGCAGCTGACCAGAAATCACTGGGGGTGTCACTGGTGCAGACAAACCAGCATCCTGCGTAGCATCAACTTGCGTTTCCATTGAAGGCAGAAAAGAAGAGTCAACCTCATCATAGAAAACACTTGTAACTTCAACTTCACCCGGGCGCTTGGGTCTGCTTGGGGCAGATCCTGAAATCTCCATTCCAGTTGCATGCTCTTTGGGAATTGAAGCATCTTTCATTCCCTCCATTGTTTCCAACTCAAACTTCTCGGGTTCATTCTGAGATGGATCCTCTTGGCCCATGGAAAACGTCTCACGCTCTTCAGCTTTCTCTTCCAACTGCTTCTGTTTCACATCTTCTGCATCTTTGTCATGAAATGCAGATGGCAACACAGCTCCAACTGGGGCATTGAAGCTTGCTGGTTGACCTGCCACATGCCGCTTTGTAGGCAAAACACGTCCACCAAAACCTGCTTTGAACCTCCATGTAGGGGCATTGAAGTGCAAAAAGAAACCCAAATGACACTTCCAATCAGTTGATATGCGTCGTATCGACCTTGTCAACATCACAGACTGTCCAGTGAAAACCACATAAGTGTCCTGGGCCTCCGTTTTCCCCAA